GCCACGACAACAACACATTTACGCCCAATTGAACAATGAGTGCTGCTGCTGTTGGGGCAGCGCCCTGCGGGACGTTGGCCGAGTGGCAGGGGGAGCGAGAGGGAGAGGGGCAAGCACTAGCTGAACGCTTAAAAGTGCCGTCAATTTTAATTGTTTGTCTGATCGCAGACAGGGGCTATTAATAGGCTTATGGTTTATATGAAATACTGAGCTGGCGCCGTGTGGCTTTGGGCATTAGCTGCTGGTGCTGCCCCCTCACCCCCTCCCCGTGCTTGTTGTTGCTGCTTTTGTCGACACTCGATAATCAGTGTGGTTGGCGCTGCGCGAGGTGCAATTTGCATGTGTGACGTTATCGCTGCCGTCGCTGTTGCAATTGTTGCTGATGCAATTGTTGTTGCTGTCGCTGATTCAATTGTTGTTGCTGTTGTTGTTGGTCAGCACAGCTCAACTGGACACTGGCACATTGGGCACACGGTATTAAACAAACACCAATTACGCCTCGCTCTAAATAGATTTAGTCGCGAAAGCCAAATCATAATTTAAATTATGCAGCTGTTGCTGAATATTTGGCTGTGTGTCCAATGCAACCTATTTCAGTTAATGACCGATAGTTAAGAGCTTTCCAATTTGATTTGATACACATGAATGTGTATAATTACATAAAAAGCTGTCCTCGGTAGATGAGCTGTCTGAGGGATCCAATCCGGGATCGAATTCATATCATAAGCCACGGGTATAAAAAGTTTAGCACATAACAAATACCAAGTGATTGCCTTAAAAAATGTGTTTGTCATCGGATCATCGAAAAACGAGTCTTGGTAAAACAAAAATTATAGACACCAGAGGAAAAATATAAACTAAATGGATTCTCAGAAAGAATCTAAAGGCGAATCGTTAGCATGTATGTGTTTGTAAGACTCAAATGAATACTATTAACAACCTTTACTTATCTGTTTTTTTGTGTTGATTTCCTCTGTTAAATTGTAGGCAACTCGCTTTAAAAGAAATCGGTATTGCTGCTTAGTTAACTGGCTGGTAAATATTTGTGTAGGAACCTAGCAACAAAATGGAGAAACTTATTCGCACGTTTCGCTGGCAGACTTTACTTAGCTGCATGCTTCAGCTCACAGTGCCAACTATAACTATTCGCCTACTCGCCTAAGTCAACGCCAACCCACGCAAAAAACTTTCTGTGTAAACAAAAACAGCGACGACGACGGCGATGACGACGACGTCGTCTTTAAGTCTGCAACACCTGTGCAGGTGACTCGCTTACAGTTGTTGCTGATACTCCAACTGCTGCTGCTGCTGTTGTTGTTGTTGTTGTTGTTTTTGTTGTTGTTGCTATCGTCGTTGTATTTGCTTATTGTGTTTGTAAACATTGCTAACAACTTGAGTAATACCGGCGACAACGCGCCTTCAACATGGCCCCACCCAGCGTCAACGTCCCTCCTCCCGCAGTTGCTCTATTACTGTTACTTTTACAATTGCTAATAGATGGCGAGATGGTGCGCGGAAGTGTGCGTACGTGCGTGTGCGTGCGTGTGTGTGTGTAGGTGTAGTGAGTAGCGCGGAAATACAATATATTTCGCTGGCTGTGAACCTTTGCTGCATATTCCTCCTGACTTTTTCCCGCTGCTGGCAAGTTGTAAGTGCTCAAGTTTTTCAATTAAAAGTTGCTACCTTTTTGTGTTACTGTGGCGGCATAACATAAATACGCATGTGAGTTGCATGTGTGAGCGTGTGAGTGCGCGTGTGTGTGTGTGTGTGTGTGTGTGTGCGGGCTTTGCCATTTAAATACCAATAAACCACATGGTAAATAGCTCAGGACGACGGTTCGTTGTGGATTTGTGGATCTGTTTGAATCGCATTGAAATGGACACGGCGCCGTCAACAGTCGAAGCGACGACAAGAACATAAAACGTAACCAACAAACAAACAAAATGGTAATGCCAGTGGCAGGTGTTGAGGTACGGGCCATTATAAATTCATACTGAAAATACCAAAACGTCAAACAAATTGCGAGTTTTTAGTTGCATTTCCGCAAAACGTAACTGAAATAATACCTTGCCGTTCTCGTTCTCGTTGTTGTTGCAGTTGTTGTCGTTGTTGCACTCGCAAATGTATGCAACAAAAGCCACGATATCGAATGCCCGCTGAAGCCCGACAAATTGAAGGTAGGCCACCGGCAACGTCTTCGGCTTGCGACCATGCTGTGTGTGTGTACCTAGATGTGTGTGTGGGTGTGTGTGGATGTGTCTGCTCGCATGACAAGTTGAAATGTTGACGGCTCACTGACACTGTATAAGCATGTGTGTGTGTGTGTGTGTCTGTGTGTCTGTGTGTATAAAAGCGGATAGCTGCGCTTTTACCCTTTAATGCTTATGCAAAGGGTATTTATGTGGACTTATGTACTTAAGGCTGAAACACAAAATTGTAAATTAATACCTTTGGGATTAAAACTGTAACAAAAAACGACTCTTTAGAATATTAAAGCAAGATTTTCCAAAAGAATGCAAGCTAAGTTTTGATAAAACAAATACAGCTTTCTTGAATGGATTATACTCTAAAAACATTCTCCGAACATTCTCTTAAGAAATTGATTTTTGCTTGAGTATGGGTTATTTAGTTTTTCTAATAGTACAAAAAAGTTTATGTAAAATAATGTACAAACCTCATCACATGACTACAGTAAAACACTTGAGATACTTGATTTAGCACAAATTGTGGCCGTTAGAGGGTATTTCACAGTTGTTACGATGCCAAACTTTTCGCTTGGTTTGCCAGTGCATGTTTGAATGATTTTGTGGCGTTGTGCTGTTGAAAAATCATACAAAGTTATGCAAATTCTGATGTGGCTGTCGCTGCCGCTGCCGCTGCTGTTGCCGCCGGTGCATCGGTTTCTGCGGTTTGGCATGCATAATTGTTGGTTTTTAGTTGCACGTTGGGCCATGCAGTACAGGCACAAGTCGGTTATTAGTGGGGCATAGTCTGCGTACTTGTGCCAGCGAAGGCATTTCAATATTTGACTTGGAGCACAAGCAGTTACCGCTACTTGCAGCAACTGTGTTTATTTGTGTGAGCTGAGTGCAAGCGGGTAACTGGAAAATTCAATGTATTTTCATCAGAATCACAGTCAGGTGGCTATGCCAGTTACTTCTGAACAGCACAATAATCATTTCTCAGGCATTTCTTATGCTATTTACATGGGATTTGCCTTGCTTGTTCTGCCCCTTTGTCTTTCCGGCTGTCTTTCCGTCGGGCTGTCTGCTTTGTCTGACTTGGGGCTGTGGCTATCATCAAAAAACAATTCTGCGCATAGCGTCCGCAAAATAATGGACGTTAGGCCTCGCTTGATAAGCTAAATGATAAATTGTTTTTATTCGTGACATATGTATACATGTGTGTGCGAGTGTGTGTGTGAGTGTGTGCCTATACATACGAAACGTGCCCTGCTCAAGAGCAACCACACAATTCCACACACACACACACACACATTGAGTAGGTTCTTTGGGATGCCAAATGCGTAAGTTGTGTGGTTTGTTGTATGTTTTGTTCCCAATAAAAAGAAAACAAAAAATGAAAAGGAATAAAAGAGAAACGAGAAACAAGCAGAGAAACTTGTAAACGCGCCTGGGTACAAAAGTGGAATCTAATAAGCCCACGGCTAAACGTGTTATGATGAATGGCATTGTCAGGCGCAGTCAGAATTAAAAAGTTTGCGAGTACCTCCAGCCGGTAGCTCTTATAATTGAAAACTGAAAATGCATTCGACTACAAAAGCTAAAGAAAATGTTAATTTAAGTTGCCTTGGCAACGATTCCATTCGAACAGTACTCACCTCTTCCACATCCCTGACTTTGGACTGGTATCTCAGTATCCCGAGCGAAAGGAGCGATGGCCTTTCGACTTCACAGCTAATCAACTAATCAAAAATTTTCGTATTCATTCATTAAATTAAAATTTCATTCTGCTCATCTGATTTGATTGCTCTGTGCCTAAGTGGCTGGCGCTGACTGGCGGCTGCTCACAAACGCAACCACAATTTGAATTCCAATTCCTGTCCCAGTCCCAATCGCAATCGTAATCGCAATTGTTGGCTTTCCTCTGGCCTGTCGGCTTGTTTATTTGTTTGTTGCCTGTCCTCTGTCGATTGTCAGTCTGCTTTGACTACCTTACAAACGCTTTCCATCTGTAGCTGTATCGTGTGTATCTGTATCTGTATCTGTATCTGAATTTGTATCTGTATCTATATCAGTGCGGACCACATCGTATCCGCAGCCGCCGTTGAAACTATGTTGCCTGCCATTGAAATTCATAAAGCATCAATGCCCCCGAAATGTAGCCAAGAGGAGCAGGCTCTGTGCTGGGGCGGTGGTATTTTATGGCGCTCGCTGTTTGAAATCATTTGCTTTAATTCAAGTGAAAAATTATTTAAATTGGTAATCAAACGTGCGATGAACATTCACAGATAGAGAAGATGAACAGAATTTGCTTTGTTTCTTTTTTTTTTTAGTGATTGTCTAGTTCGGAATTTAAAATGGTAATTTAAATTGATTTCAACTTTTATGAAAAATATTGATCAAAGCAATTTCTTCCCAATCGAGATGTGCTCCGGATGAGTTCTGACAAAAACCTACTCTCCTTCAGCTTAATATCTACTGTCTTAATGCTAATTGAGCTTTTTATGTCGCTGCCACACAATTTGTTGTTCAATTAGTTGTTTTTGAATTTGTAAAAAAAGCAAACAAATGTAGAGAAAAAGATATAAAATGAAATGTCAATCCAATCTATTCTATAGAGCTATAGGCATACCTTTTCAAGATCAGACATCGATTTACCGAGCTATGCTATTTAAATTGTTGTATTGTATCGTGATTATTTATATATTTCAAAGTTCCAATTCAAAGTTTTACCGAAATCAAAATTTTGTCAGTCAGACAGTGTGACAATCTGCCAGAATAAACAGTTTTGTATATATAGATTATTTATTATAGGTAATTGTATTTTTATTTATTTTATATGCACTTTCAATTGCATAGAAGTATTAGGCTTACGACTAGAGGGCTTTAAGTATTCATTTTGATTTCACTAAATGTAGTTATTTGCATCGTGCATTCATACATACATACATACATACCTATGTACGTAAGTATATTATGCTTAGTATGTAACTGCTTGGGATTGACGTTAACCCAATTAGCATTTCTGTGTCTAGTTTTCTTTTATAATTAATTATTTAAAATTATAAGCTTTATTGATATTACAATTACATTAAATTACATTACAAAACTTTAGCTGGAAATGCATTAATTAAATGCAAATTAAGTTAAATAACTAACTATACTGATACAAGTAATAATGCTTTACTCGTTAGTATTCGCTCTAGAATTACAATAAGTTACATTACATACATACATATATGTACTCGTGTTTGTTTTATCTGTTACATATAAATTACTGCAATTACTGCTATAATTCAGTTATTCTATTGTGTTCATATAAAAAAGGGCTTACGCTTTGTTGTTGTTGTTGTTCATTTATATAATAACGAGTATTTCAATGTAGAAAATCTGGCTACATTATGATTAAGTATGTAGAATAGAAAACTGGATTGGCATAAAACATAATGCACATTGGAGTTGATTTATGTAGTTAAAAACGTTAGAACGTTGGAACGTTGGATTTGGATTTGGGCTTAAAATTGTTTGCTCTGATTCGGTTTTAGTTGGTTTCACTTTTGTTTTTTGTATCTTAAACATTTACACATTTAGAAGTCTTTGACAAAATACATTTATACACGTATACAGCCATGTGAAATGTATTTGCGCGTGAGTCCTCCCGCTGCTCGGGTAGATAGGAGACTAATTTGGCCAGTTAGTATGTTTTGCTGTTGTTGGAAAGGTGCGCTTGGTCTCTCTAGATAGTATTGATGGGGACCAGTGCACGCCGGTCCTGAATATGGTACTAGGACTAACCTTAATGGCAGCAGCAGCTAATATGCTCCGCCTTCGCTGTGACCTAATTACAAAATTAGCTTAGTTTTTATATATTTTGACTATGTATTAGGCTACGATTACTAATACATAACTCGCTTGTACAAAAATGCTTGTTGCCTGTCGAGCATAAGAAATCATGATGTATATATAGATTGTGAATATATATATATACCTGTCTAGTTATTCGTATGTAAGTAGTATGTAAGTATATATGTATGTTCATATTTCACTATGCAATTGTTAATCGATCGCTTACTTGAGTATTTTTTGGTTTAGTTGGAATCCTCTGATTATATGCATGGCCATGATATACGTTTACATTTAATGTGTATGTGTTTGTGTGTGTGTGTGTCTGAGTGTTCATGAGTATGGCATTGGTATTGCATTTGTATTCATATAATGCTCGTTACAGTTACAGTTACCGTTTCCCGCCCATGCTCCTCTCAAGGTGGTTCCTTACAGCAGTAAATTGTCTAAATGCTCGGCGTACTCCTCTTCCGTGCTGAACTCCAGATCCAGTTCGCCAGCGGGACTGTGACTGTCGCGACTGTTACTGCGACTGCTACTGTGACTGTGACTGTGACTGCGACTGTAATGAGCAAAGTTCGGGCGTGTGGCGTGCACCATAAAAAGTTAATGACAAATCAATACAACACGTGTAAGCATTTCATTGTTATGCCTCGTGTTGCTGGCGCCCCAGCCGCAGCCCCACCCGTCCCGCTTACCTGCTGCTGACATCACGCTTTTTCCGCCGATCCTGCGACAGTGCCTCCACGCAGAGCACAATCAGCTTGCCATCGCAGGGCTGGCGCTCCTGATCGAGCAGCTTGTTGCCGAGCAAGTTGCTGGCATAGCCGAACTTCTCGTGCGAGCTGGAGTGCCAGGCATCGCAGTAGGTGTCCATGGAGCGCTCTCCGTTCGGCAGAGAGCCGTGCCAGACTAGCTTGAGCGGCCTGCATGGAAAATCGAATAATGGGTATGTGGTCTACACACATAGAAGATTATGGGACTTACCATAATGGATCTGTGAGCACATTCTTGCCGCTAAAACTATAAATGCGCGGTGCCTGAGAGAAGAAACCACCCTGGCCGTTAAAGACTCCTTTCCAGGAATTGAAAAGCACATCTCCACGGGTATTTACAACCGGTAGCTCCCAGTCGGCCGACCGCACTATAGAGTCCAGGTTCTGTACCCTGAGAGCGAAAAACAAAAAAATAAAAACATTTAGCCGGAGGATTACGAATGCGAATTCCACATGAATGTGGGAAATGCTGCGTCAGGCGTTTGCTCTAGGAAATTAAACGCAGGTAAACAAACTAGCGAAAAAGCGTCTGACGCCCAACAGCCACCCACACTCATACTTAAGTATGTATTCGTTTATTTATTTATGCTTTCTTTCTGGCAGCATTAGCATTCATTTTTGCATCCATTCCATTCAGCGCTTTGTAAATAAATTGCGCGAGATTGCTTTTAGCGGCTTTTGTTTTCATATTTTGTGAGCTTTTCTCTGCTTTGCTTCAAATATCAAGATTATGTTCGAGTTAATGAGTTCCAAAAGCGCCACCGGGTGGTGGGTGCCCAACGCTGCGTATGAGCAATGCCATCTCGAAATCTCGTCGAGTGCCAGGCTAAAGTACGCACAGTGGCAAACTAAACATAAAAAACATGCCTAATACGCGTAAAAAATCTAAGGACAGATAAGACACACCCGGCCTTTCTGTCACTCTCCGAGCCTCTTGCCCCCTTGCCCCTTGCGTCTGCTTACCTGGAGGTGAGGAACGCCTTAAAGGTGCCCAGCAGACCCGCTCGCCGGCCTTGGCGATAGCAGGCAAAGTCCGCGCCTCGAATGCCCTGCAAGTCACCGCCATAGGGCTCATTGAGGGCCGCCACGCGAAGCTATGTTGTGGGGGTTGAGGAGCGCAGAAAATATGGTAGAAAATTAATTTGGAATTTATGTCAAGCATTTTGAAATCTAATTAATATAGAATTTAATGGCTGCGAATTGTTTGTATAGCTAAGTTAAGGATGGGAACAATTGCAACTTGTTTCTGAGGCTGTTAAAATGATAAGAGAGTGTAATATTTAAAAGATATTTCATTTGGAAACTTAACTTAAAAGCAAACAAACCTATTGAGGGTACAGACTTAAGGGAACTTTTTTTATATATGTATATATATATGCCCATGTACATACATATATATATATATATATATATATATGTATGTGTTTAACTTGGGGAGGCATTCACTGGGGGGGCGTCTGGCATATTTTTAATTGTACCGAAAGGTCACTTACCATGCGCGGATACCACTGTGAATGTAATACGAGAATTTCGTGTGGTATTTTATTGAGCATCATTTATTGTTAACGATCCCAATAATATTATTCGACGACGCAAGCGTGAGAATGGTACAAAAAAGGTTCATTGTAAGAGATATATATATAGAAAATGCTTACACGATACACAAAAAAGAACAAAACGGAAAAAAAGAAGGTCTCAACTTGCTTTGCTATAGTCTTATTGGGCTTATTCAGTTGAGTTGGGATGCACTTCTTAAAGCATTAACTACACATAGAAAGTGAAACTTAACGTAAAAGCGTATTACTGACATAGATTTCAGCATGAACATAGAATAAATTAAATAAATAATTGATTGTTATAATGGAAACTCAAAAAGGGAAGCCCAAACTAACATACACAAATATATCTGCACGTTACAGAGCAGAACTCAAATTGCAATTTGCACTAATTAGAGACGTTTTCATTGACCAAACCAAAGCAAACCAAAATCAGATTATATATATATATAGATGTGTGTGTGTGAGTGTGTGTGCAAGAGATGCGTTAATTCGATTTAGTATTATTTTGTTTTTTGTTTGCTCTCTTTGTGTGCATTCAGTGTATGATATTTTATTTAATTACCGTTTCGTACTCGGGCGCGGTTGTAAACTGCATTTAATAATAATTAATAAATAAATGGTTTTAGTAGTGTTTATTAACTGAATTGCTTAAATTTCGCTTGATATTAATTATACAATTTAAAGCTATCGAGTGTCGAGCTATTGCTGTAATTGATTTTGCGTGTTTTTGTGAATAGTTTTGCACTTGAGGTACTTGGCATGATAGCGGCACTTGTGCAGCGATATTGCCTCGTGAATACTCGAAAAAATATTTGAAATATTTTGTGAAATATTTAATTTAGACACCTCACAACGCAATTCCAGCTGCACAAGCACCTCACTCGCTTTTAAATGGAGTCAAAGAACAAATATGCTTGTGAGTGTGTGTGTGAGTGTATGTGTGAGTGGATGTGTTGGATGGTATATGACAACATTATAAGCACTTACCGTCGGGGTGTTGAGCAAGGGGGGTGGACTGTTCAGCAGGTTTTTCGATTGTAAATCAAAGCGCAAGGACGGCGCCACTGTGGTGGGCGGGGCTGGTGTTGCAATCGGCACCAAGGTGCCCAGCTGTAAATAAAAGGTTTATAACGAATTTGGCAAAGTTCGGATTAAAAGCAAAAACACAGTTAGCCAATATGGCCATTAATATTTTATAGCCTATGCGCAAAATGTGCTCGCCGGAATCCCACTGCCCCCTGAAGCAGGTAAACTTTACACAGTTTAAGTACTTCATGTTTTAACAATTGTCTCGGCAATTTGTATAAAAAAAAATCTATCCTATTCTATCCTATCCCATCTATCTATCCTATTCACGACCTTTTTCTGTTCACAATAATTATTTAATAATCAAATTGAAATAAAACTTTTTCAGCCCAAAATGATAAGCAAAAATTATAAATTTTTATAAATGAAAGAAACCTTTTCCCATAAATTAATAAAAGGGAAGTCTATTTTGAGCATTTACTGCCTAGATGAGAACTTAAAAAATCAAATTCGTTGTTATTTTTAGTTAGTAAAACTTTAATTTAATAAAGTTCTTTCTAAATGTAATTTGTAATAATTAAGCATTCAATTTTGGCCGAACTGTGAATAGAATGCGAGACACTGTACGCCGCTGTCTGACAAAAGTTTTAATTACTATTTTGAACTTTAAGTAGTTGACTCGTGTACTGAAATCTAATTAGGACGCGAATGTCACCACTGATGCTGCAAGTAGCTTAGACAGCCAGATGCCAGGCTCTGGCAAGGAAATAAGAGCCCAGTCAATGAGCTTTTGCTTGATTTAACCGACATTATTCAAAGGAAGCCCCATGCACGCTTTTGTTGCCAAAAGTATTTAAATGTTGCCGTCAAAGGCATGCGATTTGTGCCACCTCCCTGCGCTCCCCCCTGCGCACCCCAGTGTTACCCGCTGCCTTGCTCATTTCCATTTGCCTTCTTGTGTGCCTGGGCATGCACATGCCAGGCACAGTAACCAGTTGGTGAGTGGGCTGGCCACGCCCTTAGCCCATGCTGTGCTAGCTGTCGGTATTGGCTTTGTGCATGCAACAACGGAAGCGGAAATCGAATCTTGAACAGTTTTGAGCATATGTATTGTGCTACACTCTGCACAATAAGGCGCCCCCAAAAATCATGCAATACTTTTTTTCAATAAAGCGTTGCCACAAATCTCGAACGCACCGGACCGAAAACTGCTCGCAAATTGTGGCCACTTTAATGTGTAACAAGCTATTGCAAAATGGTTCAATTCTGCGTGTAATTTGTGGACGCTTCAAGAACTTTTTTTCTCTCATGTGCTCTACAAGTGCTGACCAGGGCAAATTGGAAGCATTGTACCGTCAGCTTGGACTGGCGACAGGCAAGATTAATTGACAGTGTTGAGTAATGAAGTTGGCAACTTGAAGCTGCAGCGTGCTAAGGTTGAACAGCGACATTTGAGTAAAAATAATTCAATTTCCTTCTAATCATATATATTTAATCTAGAGTTACGTTTTATGATCCAAGCAAGCAAATGCATGTTTTATTTCTTGCCAATAAAAGTTTCGTTTGTTGTTGTTTTAATTTATTGTTTTTCGTTGTGCAGCGCAGCTGCTGACTGATTTTGTGATTGCTCGACTGGCTGCCTGAATGTCTTTTGGCAAGTGAGCTTGACTCGAATTGGCTGACATCTGTCTGTCCATCAGTCGTGCGACAATATTACGAGCTTGAGGCGCCACTTCCTACGGCTGATGGCTTAAGAATGCGCAATTCTTGTTGTATCGTTAACTCGCCTGAGTGAAAAGCCAGGCGCGAGTCAATATAATTGAATAACGGGACACACACACGTTTCGGGGCATGTTGCCGATCCGTTGGCAATCAGTCAGAACGTCTGCAACATTAAATGTGCAAATAAAAAACCCCCAAGGAGCAGCCGCCCAGACAAGGACACTGCCAAACAAAACCCTATTTTATGGCCGAAAACAAGAGGCTAAATAAACAAACGTATGCACGTCGAACGTCTTTTAGCCCAGCCTTCTTCTTTCTATTTTTATTGCATTTTATTTTGTTGTGCTTTGTTTTGTTTTGTTTTGTTTTGCCGAGCCATATTTTCATAATATATAGAAAAAAGCCAATGGGTTGGGCCAACTCCAAAGGCTGCTCCATAAAATAATAGCGTCCGCCAGCGACTTTTCTTTTGCCATACTTGGCATTTGCGAACGCACGCACAGGCAGTCGCACTTGTTTGTTTGGGCCCAATCCCAATCCCATCTCGATCCCAATCCCACTCCGAGGCACAGGACCAGGCACAGGACCAGGACAAGAGCTTCACTTACCGCTATATACTGCCAGCCCTTGTTGACGCGCACGAGCACCGCCTCCTCCTCGGTAATGTACGCCAGGGTGCCGGGTGGGCTGAGCGCGGACTTCTGTGGAACGTCAAAAAACCAAATTTAAATATGCTTAAAAAAATACGCTGCTAAATATATACGCTCATATATATATGGACACACGCGTACGTGTGAGTCGGTGTGTGTGTGTGTGTGTGTCGGGCAACTCACCTTTGTCATTTCGTCTATGTTCTGGAAGGTGACTGCACCTGGCACGATTCTCATGTTCATGTTCGATGATGATGCGGAAAAGTATGGCAGCTCCTCGCCAATGCCCAGGGGCGACTCCTCGTGCTTGTGCGAGTGCGCCGTCTGTCGCGGTGGCTCTGCAAATGATGATTTCGAGACATGCGTGTTAAACATCCATTTAGATGAAACTAAGTCCAAGTATAAATATGCATATCTATACACATATGCAATTGCATTAAAATCTGTGCGCGCTGTTAAGTAAAATCAATACTGCAACTACTCTAAATAATATCAAAAGTAATGTCATTTGTACAACTTTTTCCATTTACCTATTATGCAAATACAAATCGGAAAAGATATATAATATATTGCATGTGAAGTTAATAATATAAAATGAATAAGTATTTAGGATACAAGAAATCTAAAATACATCTGATACAAATAGAAAATGTGTGCGACTCGGAGATATCCTGTTCAAATGGAAGCAAAGCTTGCCACGTTTACAGGGTATCTCATGCCCAAGCACACGCGTTTATAAGTATTTACCATTTATAATCTATACAGCTTATTTTGGAGCATTCATTCTCGTGTTTTATATATATTTTTTTTTTTTTGTTTTTGGTAAGTGAAAGCATGACTATGTTGAAATGTTGAACAAAATGTTTACGGGTACTTCATTAACGCAAATGAGATGATGATGATGATGTGCAAATAATGAGCCCGTATCCCCTCCCCCCTAGATGTGAGGCATGCCAAGGTCGTGGTGGGCGTGAAATGTGTATACGCACAGCAAGAATGTTTAGGACTAGTTTAGCATGCAACATCAAAGGAAAATAAATATCACTACGGCAATTTTGGTGGATTGATTTGATTTGATTTTGATGGTTTACCGGCTGTGCCATCTGTGGGCCTATCGCGCAGATCTTGCAGCTCTCGCAGTGCTTTAAGTTCGTCTAAAGATGAGCGCGCACCTTGATTACGAGTACAATACAGAATGATTTTGGAATTGATTTCAAAGTTGTTATGGGAGTTACTGATGTGTGTGTGTGTGTGTGTGTGTGTGTGTGTGTGTGTGTGTGTGTGTGTACGGGTTTCTGGTTACATATGTACAGTCATGAATCATGGCACAAGTACGGGCACCTAACTATACATATATGTCTGTATATACAATTTGTTCTTGGCACTTTGAAAGCTGCCACTGACTCACCTGGTCGACCGTAGTAGGAGGCGTCTCCGAAGAAGCTGCTGCGCGCGTCCATGCCTGCCTCTCCTTTGGGTCCAGTTATCGATAAGCCGGGCATGCCAGGCGGCCCGGGCGGTCCTGGCGGACCGGGCATTGGAATATACTGGACGCCACTGCTGTCACCATCGCCACCACCTGTGCTGGCCGGCAGTCCAGGTGGGCCCGGCAAGCCGTCACGACCGTCGCTGCCCCGATCACCTTTCTCACCTTTGGCCTGGACATAGACATGGAGGCTTGAGCAATAATTTGTTAAAAATTAACTAGAGAACTACTTACGCCATCGCGTCCACCTGTGTCGCCTTTGACGCCTTTGGCGCCCGTATCGCCCTTAGGTCCAATCATTCCAGGGCGTCCCTGGAAACGAGAATTTCATAAATGATGGCCAAATATTGGGCTTTATCGTCGCACGGGCGCACTTTTTGCACTGGAAACTGGAAACTGTAACCGAATTGGAAGTGGAAGCATGTGGCAGGGACTAACGGCTGGCAGGAATCGCTACTAACAAGTGGAGTAACTCGAGCATAAAAACCAAGTTGAACAATCGCCAAAAATGGCAAAACTTTAGCAGTTTAGAGTGCAACAATTTGGTAGTTGCAGCGCTTTCCTGTTGTTGTTGTATTTGTTGTTGTTGTTGTTGTTGTTGTTGCTGCTGCTCGTGTGGCAGTGCCAGGAATTGAGTCAAAGTTTCGTTTGGCTTCATTTCGGTGCGGCAATTCATGTAAATACATTGCTTGACTTTGATTTTGAGAGGCGGTAAACGATGCCAGTTGGCAAACGCGCAGACAGCCAAAGCAAACTTTTCCCTTTATATGAGACTACCCATTGTAATAGTTGTTGTTGTTGTTGCAGCTGCAACTGCTGCTGCTGCTGCCTCCGCTGTATTATTGCAGAATAATGGCCGAAACTGAAATTCTAGGGTAACTGCAATTGGAATCGTGCGCTGAGTCAGCGTCCTGAATAACCGTGATGAAAATGCAGTTAAAATACTTTTCGTTTGAGTTGATTTCGCCAAGTTTGGCCCTCCGCTGTCGCTCTTCTTCTTATTCGGTTACGGATACTGTCTAGCTCGCGACTGCGGCCAGAAACTCCGTCTGGCTCTAAGTGAACTTAGCGCTCGACACCGACAATGGGCGCAGGCATGTGAAAGTTGAGCCGCCTCATGAATATGGATGCAAAAGTTACGAGTGCCTTACCGAGTGTCCGATATCACCCATGGGTCCTGGTTTGCCGGGTGGTCCAATTGGTCCGGTTGCGCCAGTGCCACCTCGCCTGCCACGCATGCCCTTCTCGCCCTTTTCGCCGCGCTCGCCCTTGGTGCCGTTGCCATCGCCCGGCTGGCCGGCCAATCCGGGTAGGCCTGGAGCGCCGGGCTCACCCTTGGGTCCAGCGGGTCCGTGCGCACCTTTGTGACCCTGTTATTGGCGTTAAAGGAGAGAGTGAGAGAGAGTGGAGGGATGTGTGTGTGTAAAATGATTTACGGTATTAAATATACGGTACATGCCCAGGGGGCGCACTCACGCCTAATTTGACCGTAAAACTCAATTTCAAACGTTTTGTCCTCGGCAAAAATTCAATTCAAACTCATTTTGAAATCAAATCAATTCTAAAATCCACAATCCCCACAATCAAACCAACTCGCACGCACACACGACCAATACACATACGCACGTATATAAATTTATGCGACCGTATGCAACGCTTGGTGACAAGCCCGAAAACACAAAACCATTGCCAAGAGACGAAACCCACGGGTTTCTCTTTGTACCCGAACCCAAAAGCTATCAGGCGATATATTATGCTTGTAATGCGCGTGTTTTCTAATCAAGTTTTCTCAGTTGAAAGGGGAAAATTTCCTGGCACTCGATATAGATATAGATTAAGTGTATATAAAAAAATAATAAAAATAATAATATCTGAAAACAATACGAGCTCAAGACGTGGAATTAACAGCACAAAATTGCACTTTGTTCAATTAAAAGATATATCAAAGTTTTGGCAAATTTCCATATATCTATAGAATAGATGTACAGGATTCTTTGGAATCATTCTTAAAGCTGGGCTTGCTTACGACTTAACATATTCATATGGTAAGTCTAAGATTGCTACGACCTATTTCCCATTTCACAGCTCTTGGCTTTATCTTTAACAGTAGATACCTCTCATTCTTAGTTCCTCAACTGATACTGTTCGGGTATATTCTAGTCGAGCCATCGTGCCAACGAGCAATCGCGGCGTCCCCGTACGCTGTTGCTTATGTGTACTTCTGCTTTTTTGGGACTGTTGCCTTGCGGAGTTGGCAAAACGGCTGGCGGTCTGCAGTTTTGCCCCAGCCCCTGCTCACGCCCCCACCCACGCCCACGCCCCTGCTCAACCAAGTGCTCCCGATTTATCCCCAGTGTCGTCTTCCACATCATCAGCGCCTTAAATGGTTTGCCATAAATTTGCGCGCGCCTACTCGCAGTTTACGTGGCGGGGTTGGGGTTGGGCGTTGTGTTTGGATTTGGATTTGTAGTCTGGGGCTTTGTATATGGTTTGAGATGAGCGCTCTTGGCGTGTGTGGGACCGCTTTAAATTGACCTGACCCTGGTTGTGCGGCTGTGCTGCTTGCTGCAGGCCTTACTCTATATTGGCAGCTTGATGCGAACTAATGAATAATTAATAAGCCTCCCGCACGACCAAAAACACACCTACGCACAGACACATACACATACACACGCGTGTGTGTGTGTAAGTGGTTGCAATATTACAAAGTACGCGCGGTTGCTTCCGGGGCCGTCTTGAATGGAGGCCCGAATCGCGTTAGGGCTGTGGCTGCGAGAAGCTGTCTTTTGAGTTAAATGAAATGTACCTAATTGTGCGTGCATTTATACGTTTAAAATGCTAATTTCAATATTAGTTTCCAAAATTCAAATGCAATAACAACAATTTCGGCATGCGTGTGTGTGGCCGTAAATTGGGCGTGAATTGATCAGAAAATCGAAATCGATTTTTTATATAGCTTCACAAAGATGTGGGAGAAGCTTACGGCTTTTGCATAATTTCTTTTTATTTCACGCCCGATTAAATATGGTTCTCCAGTGCCTGCCAAGGGGGCGTGGCGCAAGACTACGGCAAACTGCAAAGATTGAACCAAAGCGAGGCCTACAAAAAAGCGTTGCCACTGGCCAAAAAACTTACATATATAGTATGTATATGTACTTACATAATATATCAAAGGTCAAATAAATCTTGACATACTCACACACACCGAAATTGGAGGTGTAACGGCAGCATTCGTGAGCCCCAACACCGGAAGTTGGCTGACAATCCGTGAAACGCCCAGTTTCAGTCTACAAATCCATTCCTTCGTCATGCTCCAACTCCTATCTACGTGCGACACGAGCCCCGCCCCTCGCCGCCCACACAGAAATGGCAAACAAACTACAAACATATTATATGCCAGAGAGTATGTGTTGGCAGCTTAAAGTTTTTGAGGTACCACATAAAAGAAATATGCGCGCCACTTTTTCCAGCTGGCTGACCCTCGCTAACGAGGGGTCAAGCCGGAGCAGCTCGCTGGGAATCCCGGTCCCTAAGCTGCTAAGTAGCATGGAGCGTAATGGCAGGGAAGTAAGCGCCATCTAAGCAGGATGAGCTGCAGAAATGGCCAAAACTTATTATAAAAATTATACGGAATACAAGTAGTCTGCCCGTTGACTGCTAACAGAGGGAGGGGGGAGCGGGAGGGGGGACTTTAGTAAACGATTTCTAATAAACTAGAAAGCACCTCGATCATATCAACTGGCAACCAAATGAGCTATAAACGCTTACAAATTGTCCCGGGGCCAGGGCAACAAATAATGCGACATTCTCTCGCTCGCATGTGGTCTGATAGAAATTTATGCGTCAATTTATGGACTGCCGACCACGCAAATGAATGCAGTGCAATAAATCTGAGAATTTCAGCTAAATGATGGCCACTTAGTGGGAAATTGAAGTACAAATATGACAAGTGTGAAGCCGGCACATAAATCTTCTCGACTGTTTTTCTAGCTGCTCACAAAGGCATATGGAAAAGAGACCAACGCTGACGTTGGGTATATTAATCCACATATTGCGTTTGTTCTTGGCAGTCATTGCCCATTTTATGTTTCTAGCCTCGAAATCAATTGGGTAATCAATAGACCAGAAGTTATTATTTGACACAACAATGTTGGTCGCCCACTTTATAATGCATAAAGAGCTTAACGCACACACTCACACACGCACACACACTTGTATATATATAGGGAAATATTTGCCGGACAAGCGCTCGTATTGAACTTTGACTCACCTTTTCACCGCGTTCTCCTGGACGTCCGGGTTCACCTTTATCGCCAGTCGCTCCTTTAGGTCCTGCCTGGGTGGAGGTGGAGCTGCGTAGGCTGCCCATTGAGTTGCCCATTAGGGATTCCTGTGTGATTGTTGTGTGTGTGTGTGTGTGGGAGGGGAATAGAAGGTAAGCATAGTAATTTGTTAAATATTTGCTTGTTGTACAATTTATATTTCGATACATGTATTTTTGGGCCATTTTTTAAGCAGCGGGCGACCTTTGATGCCACCTTCGGCCCACACAAGAATACACGTAGTTTTGCACACACAAACACACACACACACACATAACTGCTAAGGAAATTTGATTAATGATCTGATGCGCCCCTTTTTTGGGCGTATGTGTGTGTGTGAGTGTGTGGCGGCGTCCCTAATGCTTGGGACTCTAATGACGCCGAGGGGTTCTAGTCCATTAGGTTATGCGGCCATTGCTTACCCAGAGCAAACTTTTGCTTTTGTTTTGTATTATTATAGTTTTTTTTTTTCGTTTCGTTTATTAGTGGGAACATAAAATGAAATTGTTAAATGTTTATACCTTGAAAGTCCTGGTAGGATTCCAATTTATCTGTTATTTATGTGTTGATTGTTACAAGAATACATATTTTTTTTGGTACGATTTGTATATAATATATATATATAGCATAGAACAATGGGCGTGGAATTAAAGCGTATTATTATATGATTTCAATTTGATGGTGTTCAAAAGTTCATAAACTGGCTGTAAAATTGCAACTTTTACAAATTTACCTCGCCCCCACTTAATCCCCCCCCCCTTCCCACTCACACTCACACTGGCAGTCAAGCGTCTAGGCCCGTCGGAAAACATTTGAAAAAGTTGTCTCCGTGTCAACAATCAAAAGTCGTTCTAATAAACTTAAAAGCTTTTTTGTTCTCCCCTGGCGCATTTGCTGCGACAAGGTCAAAATGCTTGACAACAATAAGAACAACAACAATTGGAAACGCCTTTAAAAACGCCCCCCTCCCCTGCTCCGCCTCTAACCCAGCAATGCGATAATGATAATAAACCCCCGACGAGCGACATAAAACAATGGGAGGCTGACTGTGCGAGCGTCTGATTTAACTGGCGCGTTAGCCATAAGTAGCTTGACACTCTCATAACCGTAACAGCGCGATAATGATTACGACCACAACCGCGCACACAATCACAATCACACACACCCGCAAGCACACACACACGCACACACAGCATGCTGAGATACGCCCAAGCAGGCAACATACGGCGTTGAAATGCGATGATAAAGCCGGCAGAAAAAATAAAAGTTTCGCTTGCAGAAAAGGGTTAAAAGCCGGCAATACAAGTGTGTGTGATGGTGTGTGTCTGGGTGTGTGTGTGTGTGAGTCAGTATCTGTATGCGTGTTAGCGCGTTTAACCGCGTGAACTGCGCGCCATGCGCTGATAACAGTAATTGCCACAAGCTGGCATGCCAGCACTCCGTAAGACCTGAATCACAAGCCCGCAAGCAGCGCCAGAGCGAATAGCACGTCGCCAAAGGGGGGGGGATCCACGTGAGAGCGGGGGCAGGGAGACAGCGACAGCGACCGGATCTTGGAGTGAGACGGAGACGGAGACGCGGACTGAGACTGGGCTTGGCTTGTTTCGGTTTGCGTGTTCAGGACACTTACGTTTCGGCATTTCTGCGAGATGTTCATGTTGTTCGAGGCGTTGTTGTTGCTGTTGCTTTGTGGTTTTAAGATTATTAGCGTAGATAACCCATTTGCGACAACGCGAATGCGTCCTGGGCACCTGCCATGCCCAAATCTGGCCAGCAATTTTTCACAGTGTACAGGTGCAGCAATCGCTCGCCGCGCGCAGCGTGCCTCCTCCTCCAGGCAGGAAATTGGTTTAGGCAAATTGTGTGTGTGTGTGTGTGTGTGTAGCTGACCAAACATGACCGATGCCTGCCGCCCGAAATGCGCCTTCAAGGCACACAATTCATAAAAGAAACGTGCGTGATTGGTAGCATCCGTCGGATATAGATAAACGGACGAACGACTTTGCCTTTGAGGTCTACCGTAAAAGTTGCAATTTTTGGGGCCAAGTTATAAAAAAAAAATTATCTATCTTCGGTTTACCGAAGAATTGATACTCTTGCAAATGCTGTTGGCTTTTTGTTCTCTTGTTCACTCAGTCAGAAAGCAAGAGCAATTAATTATTTATGTTAATTGTTGCAAATTATAAGTTGCAAGTCGCTATTGAGCGACTAGAACATACCCTGTACCAAAGTTGGTGTGCTTAGCTGTGATGGACTCAGAAATCCGTGTTATGGACAGACTTACGGACAGAACGGAATCGACTTAAGTTATAAAAAATAATTCAAAGCTTTAGTTTTTTACTTATTGCTTACTTTTGCAAGAAACCTTTTTGGTACAAGGCATAAAGAGACTTAGACTTATTCTTTTATGAAAAGAACTGAATTTTGGAGTACATAAATTATAGTTAATAAAAAAATGTTTTTTTAAAAAAATTAAATATTAGCACCAAAATGTTAGTATAAATTTCATAGTCATGCAATAAAGGACAAAAAGGCTGCAGGTGAGTTTTGGTTCGAACCAGAAATTTCAGTTAGTTTTTTAATATGAACCGAACCCTTTTCTATTTCGTTGATGTGATTAAAGATATAGATTATTAAACGTAGGATATATTCAACCATATTGGATGAAGCCAATTTTGGGTAGAAATCAAATTTAGCCCGAATCTTGTATATAAAAATATGAACAGCTTACAATATTCTCAAAACAACGGGCAAATATAAATTAAAAATAAAAATGTTATATAAAAATAAAATAAAAATAAAAAGACTAACCGCGGAATCTGGATGTTGGTTTGAAACGGGAACCGAGTCATTGGCAATTTTTGTCTTGTTGCAGCCCTGTGACAAATAAATATGTTGATAATAATAAAGTTAACAAAATAAATAATCAACTAAAAGAACATAACGATAATATAATGAAAAGATAATTGTGTTAAGTACGACAATTTCTACTCGTGATATTCTTATAATTAATTTTTGATTAGAATTAAAGTTGTACTCACATCATAGCTCTCCGGCAAGCCAGGCGGGCCCGGAGGTCCGGGCGGGCCCATCACTCCGGGCATGCCGTCGACGCCTGGCTCGCCCTTCTCCCCCTGCAGACCTTCCGGGCCGCGAGCGCCAGTTACGCCAGTGGCACCCTGCAAATGAAAAGAAAAGGGAAGAGACAAGAAAAAACGGCGCCGCCGGCGACCAAGAAATAAATCACATTAGTGGGCGTGCATATAGAATGTACGACTACAACTACGTCTACGGCAATGTCTGCATCTACAGCCACAGCTACAGCTACATATATAGGGTATATATATAGTCTACAAGCTATTTGGGGGCCTGCTGGCCAGTTGGTAGCTTTTAACTGGCTGCGGTCGATTTACATAATCGTCGCGTTTTAGCCGGAGCTCATTAATCTACGCGGCCCAGCTGCCCAGGCCCAATAGCAGGGAATGATTGGAGAGGGGGGGGGGGGGGTCTTAGCTTTGTGTTTGTGGTCTGGTATGTTGGCTGCACAAAAAATGTGTCTCCCAATGTCCTTAATCTTATGCAAAATGGTCACGCTGTGCGCCATTTGCGTGTTCTGTTCGCCATCGGATTGTTCGTGTTGCCGTCGTCCGTCGTCCGTTGTCCGTTGTCCTTTGTACATTGTTATTTCAGTGGCAGTTGTTGCTATTGCTATAATGTTCTGTTGCTTATCGTCGTCTTTTAAATTAATTGCTATTAGTTAAGGGATTAGCAGTAGAGCAACAAAATTGTCGCAGGAATTTCCGGTATGCGCACCAGTTCGCCATATTTTACTCAAGCATTTCGGACGTCTGAAGGGTTTTGGCAAGGACTTTGCTGGAGAGGGTCAAGTTTTGGGTCTTTTCTGCATTTTTGAGCAGGCATATTCTCAGCGCTGTTTGTTGCTAGCCACGAAAATGTTTTGCATACCGCTTTTCTTTTGATATATTGCAACGTATTGAAGAGGCTGCGTTCCACAGGTTGCTAAGCACATTGTCAATGAGTGGAGGTTTTTTTCTTTTCTTTTTTATTTTTTCGAGAGACTAAGCAAAGTGTTGCCTGTGTCTGAGCCAAAATAAAAATGCATTTGCAGGATGCTAAGGCAAGGAGATTAGAAGCAATGTTTCACAGATTTTATATTTTCGGCTAGCCCCACAAAAGTTACGAGTCTCTTTGGCTCTTTGGCGTGGCAGACACTTCTGAGTTGAGTGGATGTTGAGGCCAACATCTGCTTGTGCAGCACAGTGGACTTAGCCTTTGACCGGACACACACACGCACCAACTGGCACCCAGCTCCAGAGAGTGAGAGAGAGAGAGTGTAGTCTCTTTGTGCCCTTAGATAGATACAACTCCTTTTGGTTGCAAAAGACGTTGCCAGTTGATGAGATAATATAACGAGTAGCGGCCAAAGTGGATAAGTGTTTAAGCCTGAGTTGCCTGCCGTTTGCCTTGCAAAGTTATAAAGAAATTTTCGTTTCCTGCTTGCACGTTAACGTTTTGCCTCGTTTCCGGTTACACGCACACGCACGCACACACGCACAAATTATGATGTTTGACTTGCTTTAAGAGAGCAGCGCATTCAAGTGTGCTTCTGCGTATGTGTCTGTGTGTGTGTAACCAGCTGGCGATAACCATTGCCATGCTCTCTTCCTCTTGAAGATTAGAAGATGTGTGTCATGAAATTGAAAATGCGTTTAATCCATATCAAATATTGACATTTGCCATTTTGGACTTCCAACCCGTTGCTCTTGTATAAACTATGTATCAAGTAGTCGCTGGTACTTACGGTAAGTCCAGGGGCTCCGGACTTTCCATCTCTGCCCGGCGGACCGGCCGGGCCGCGCAACGTTTCGCGTATCGTTTCATTGTCCTTCAAGGCTTCCAGGATATCAGACGCATTACATGTACATTCGCCAGTGTATTTCTGCAATTGATACAAAAATTTGCCCTTTAGTAACCAAATTAATCCAGACAGAGCTCTCCTCGAATTTCTGCATGATTTTGCAAGTGCACAGATACTTTTTTGGTATTTGCCAAGGAATCACCAGAGTTACGGATTTGGCAACCACTTCGAATCCAGCTGCTTTGTCGTTTGGTGCGCAAATAAATGGGCCCTGTCTCTGTGCACTTGCAAAGTCGGAAAACAAGTGGCAAGTCGACTTTTATACTTACAGCCCCCGCACTTGGTGTCTCCACGAAGGGCGGATACGATGGTGTTTCACCTTTGGGACCCGGCGGACCGGGCGGCCCAGGTGGACCACGTATACTATCGCCCTTGGGTCCTCGATCGCCCTTCTCGCCCTTGATGCCGCGATATGCTGCGGGAGGGAAGAGTAGCAAAAGCAAAAGCAAAGTCATGCCATTAGCAGGCTGCCTAATTAAAATCCGGACAAAGTCCAGCATCAGGTGAACTTACGTCTCTCGTGCGTTAACTGCGTCTGTCCGGGGGCCTGCAAACCACTGTCGTCGAAAATGTCAGTTGCCTGTGAGGAAATTAGAACAAGAAGAAGATGTTAGTGACGTTGGCTTATTGAAAACGCATTTACGGAAAATGCAAATAGCTTTTGTTGCCATGCCCATAAATGCTGCTCAGCCTGCAGGAGCAACTGCAACTGCAACTGCAACTACGACTGCAATAAACCGCATCAAAATACCATGTGGAGCAGGCCTCTATGGAAATCTAATTGAATATTGTTTGGCCTGGTCTCGAGTTACGAATCACGTCTGCTTAGCTTATATCTGATTAAAAACTAACCTCAATATTTGCCGAGGACCACCAGCCTTCGTTTGTAATATCATTCTCATCGACAACGGGCTCATCGGGTGGTGAATTCTGAATGCATTTCGTGTCATTCAACATGAAATAAAGTTCAAATTATAAAATATAATAAATAAAAGATAATAAAACATAAAATAGGAGAAATAATAATAATCTGGGTAAAAACAAACCATTTCTTGTTCGGGATCAGCTAAGAGTTCGGGATCTGATTCGGTCGAAAGCTCATTATCCAAATCCTTCAAAATGGAAATCAAATTAATAATAAAATGGGGCAAAAAGTAAACACAATGAAATGGGATGAATTCAAATTTAAATAAAATACAGTCTTAAATCATAATAAACTCAAATTGGGAATACAAAGAAAATTTACACATGTAACTTGATGTATCAATTAATTAATTCATATTTTGTTCATCATTTAACTAAGTTATTTATCATTGTTCAATATAAAATTAAATTTACACCTTAGGGACTTTACTAAGTCGAACTAAATCTAAATTGTATTCAATCAATTATTTGAAGCCTTAAAACTCTTTTGACTGCTTAATAATTCATTTTGAACTAAAACCATTTGAACGAACCTGAATTGGAGATTGGAAATGTTGAACTTACCGTGGGCACGGCCACCGTTGGCTTTGGGGGCGACATGCATTGAATTGCTATGGCATCCGGATTGCCATAGACGTAGATTTTTTCTAAATATCCCTGTGCATCATAAAATACGTTTGTATAGACGTTTGGACAGATTTGCAGATATATATTAATAATGCCTTTCTAATAATTATTGTAACATTTATAGCCAACCGGCAGCACACCATAAAACCTGGCCCTTTGGCAACTAATGCATCAATAAGTATGTATAATAAATCAATCAATTTGAATAAATGCACACATAAATCTGCTGCTAATGCAGCGCAGTAACATTTCTATTCGATGGCAATTGTGATTGCCGCAAATCGAAATTAATTATTAATGTTAATTTCCAATAGCACTTGCCACTTGCCACTTGCCACTTGCCGCATGCTGCCCACGCACCTAATGTGCGCGGCTTTTCCTCTCCAGTTTCACTCATAAAGAGCGAGGGAAGTCCGTGACACAGAGAAGCGGAAAGTGGGCGGGGGTTCCGCCATTACACATAAGTACACAATATGACTTACACATAACAGACTTACCTGGAAAATGAGAGAAGCTCGAGAGTGTTGCTGGCAAGGGCGGGGGGTGGGGTGGGGCAATGCTATCAGTGGTCTATAGAAATGCTAACCGCAGACGATACAGGCCCTAGCTGCGAGACAATGGAACACGGACAATGCGATGCCATTGCACAAACACAGACAGTTATCGAAAGAAGGAGAGGGAGCGAGAGAGAGATAGAAAGAGAGAGAGCAAGTGAATGCACATTTGCCATAAACCCTGTTCCGGGTTCTTTCAAATAAAAATGGCAGCAAACACTCAACTGGTTCACTCGCAATACTAGTGCAGGCCAAGCACAATGGCAGCAGTCATCGCAGTCATTGTTGTTGTTGTTGTTGTTGTTGTCCTGCAGAGACTGTAACTGATAGTAATGGCCGTGCAGCTTTTATGCATCCCAGTTAAAAGTTCTGTCTGAGACGTCGAGCCGTTGAGTTTCGGGTTAAAAGCGTGCAATCGGCTTTCAGAATGGCTTAATATGCTCAACGCTCAACAGCATACGGCCCATGTCAGTGGGAAAGGATTGAACGTGAAGTGCGGTAGGAGTAGGAGGAGGGGTAGGAGGAGGGGGAGGACGAGGTGGAGTAGGAAAACTGGACTACAGGACCGTATCACACACGGACTACACTGCATTAAATGGCCGCCAATAAACATTGCTCGGTTCCATTCCATTTTGCTGTCTCTTTCACTCTCTCTCTCTCTCTCTCTCTCGCTCTCTCTCTCTTTCTCCCTCACTCTCTAAATCTGTCTCTTTCTCTTCGAGCATCGGCTTCAATCTGCAGCTTGTTGCTCTGCTGAGTGGAGACATTAAAGTCTTCTCTTTTTTATAGCCTCTACCCATTGAAAATGCATTTATAAGCAGGGTAAAAGACAATTTAGAAAAAGTAAGTAAATTTTCAAATTTAATGTGCAAAAACTTGAAAATTGATACATACGTTTCCCAGCTGCTGGTTTTTCACAATATCATAGAGATTATGGGAGTAAGAAACTACAAATTTATTATTTAGAATTTCATTTAGCTTACAAGTGCAAAGTATTTAGTACATATCCCTTTTTGGATACCTTTCTCAGTTTCATTAGGAAGCAAGATTCAGGAATTATTATATAATTATATCATGAGAATTTCAATAGACTATTTATAGCAAAATCTTCATGCATACATGTATACCCTGTCGACAGAGTATTTGCTAGTCGCCAACTTTCGACAGGATTATAATTTCTTGTTTTGCTTGGGTTTGATTCGGTTGAATAAAACTATGCGCAAGGCATACGACAGGTCAGCGAAAACAGAAACCAGTAAAAATCCATTTATAAATGTATATGTGTATATGTGTATATTCACATTCACATAACTATTTGCCACTGTGTGAGTGGCCCAGTTCGGCTTTTAAGCCCACCCCACTCTGTCTGTGTGTGTGTGTGTGTTTGTGCAACAAAATTAGCCGCAAAGAAATTCACTAGAAACGGAAATTAAGTAGCTGGATGTGGCATTTCTGGGGCGTGAATCGTTGGTCCTTGTTCCTTTCGTTTATCCCTCTTCCCCCCGCTGAGGCGTGACATTCACAATTACCTGGTGGCCACAGGGATTTCTGGTAATTGACAACTATAAACATTTTCAGCAGCGCAGAAATTGTTTATATAAGTACATACCATATATACCTACATAATCATATTTCGGCTTTAGATTTGGTGAAGGACATTTTAAAGAAATCTTTATTTTTAGTATTCAGCTGCTTTGAGCAAATGCCGTGCAACGTGTTTAAGTTTGGCCAGATTATTAGAAAAAATGTATTTGCCATAAACAGAAATATCTCGACTGTCGCATGGGAATGCGATTCAAAGCAACGTTGACAATGGTTCACCCTTTGGGTTAGTTCATAACAGTACTCGTAATTTGAACCCTTTTTTTTTAGAGGGCCTGTAGTATACGAGTCAAGAGCGATGAACTGCTGATAGGAGGACATCAAAGCAAGCTCTTTGGCAGATTGTGCATGACAACGCAGCGAGGCAGACAAAGACATGAGCCAGGGGAGAAGGGCGCACCAACGAAAAGGCGTGAGGCAAATAAATAGGCAACCGAAACAAGCAGGACAGGAAGCCGGGCGAGGGTCAAGCACAAACAATGGTCGCTCGGTCTCTTTAAATAATCAAAAGTGGCCCGGAGGCGACTAAAAGTAAAGACTTGTCTGCTCGCCGATGTCGTAAGTGAGGTAGTTTTAAGCTGTCAACCCAAACGTAACCAGTAGGCAGCGAGGAGCTGCTGCTGCTGCTGCAGCTCGGTCAAGTGGCGCCACGAGCAATTAACTGGGGCTGCGACTGAGACTGAGACTGAGAGTGTGCTGTGTGTGCCTAGGCTGTACATGTGAGTGGCGTGTGCATTTGATTTTGTCTTGGGCCGCACATAATTAAGGCCAGCCGAGCAGAGCAGCGGGGCAGAGGCGCTAAAGCGGAGCAAGGACATGCCGCCAGGAGAGCAGTCCGAAATGAACGTCAGGAGCATGGCACGACAGCAATGCCAGCAGCGGGGGCTGTTGCACTTGACAAGGGTTCGCATTGCGAGCAAAATAAACAAACAAATAAAACCCTCACGCCGTTGACCTGCTACCCCAGTCAAGCCAAAAGGTATGCAACCTTTTGGGCAGTAGTTCGTTTCGTTCTAGTATGCCAGACACGTTTCCGCTATATAAAAACACAGAAAAAGGACACTGCCCGCAAACGGAATCCATGCAGCCTGGCAATTTGTCAAAAATGTGTCAATAATGTAGATCGATTGCGAACGATTGCGGCCCCCTTAAAAATTAACCGAAAGGGGTTCAAATTGATTATAAGTATCCTTCTGCGCCCAAATGGTTCAATTAGAAAAGGTTTTCGCTTGTATTTGTTTTCCCACAGCATACTAGAAAATGCCAAGAAATTCACCTGGAATCTGAAATTGCTAAAATGCCCAGATTTTTCCTTCTGCTCTTGAGTTGATTAAACTGCAGCCGGGTATTAATTTTTTAAACACACTTCGACAGGCTTTCTTATGTACATTACGGCAAAATTGCAGCTCAGGCAGATTTAAGTGAAGCTAACTACTATTATGAGCTCCAGTCTCAGTTTAGATTGGGAAATTCCTGGTTTCCTAGCCAATGCCAATGGGCAGGATGGATTTATGGTTAGTAGCTTTAAGCAATTACAGCGATACTCTATCTTAAATGGCATCAGTGACCGTCACAGATCTCTACATGGAGCTCACTTTGTCAGCTGTTGGCCAAGTGTCGCCAGGGCCAGGCAGCTGTTGTGTAGTTAAAATTAAATTTTAATTAAGCACAAATATTTAATAAGCATAAATTACGGCATGCAGTCGCAGCAGAACAAAAGGACTGCTTTAAATTGAGAATGGCAACTGAAAATGGCATCGCATTAAGATTAGCATAACTTGTTTTTATAACCACCCCCCCCCCCTCCGTCAACTCCCGTCCCACTCCATTCCATTTCCTCTCTACTTGTTGTCTGTTCTGTGCTTTAGACTTATATAACAGAAACAGGAAAGAGACAGCGACAGCGAAAGCGACAATGACACAGCAGGCGGAAACGGATATACATACATTTTAGTCTTGCGTGCGAGCGCCTCTACGAGTGTGTGTGCGAGTGTGTGTGTGTGTGTGAGTGTGTTAACATCTACAAGTAGCAGCAGCAGGCAGCAGGCAGCTCCATCCGTTTGTATAAAAGTTATGCGCAGGTTAATAGATAATTAACCATGCAAATTGCCGCGCAACAGCTTACAAATATTCTCAGCGTCATCCTCGCAGGACAAAAATGCCGTATACCAGGTGTTTGTGTGTGTGTGTGTGTGTGTGTGGGTGTGTCTGTATGTGTGTGACACGCGTTCAAGTACAAAGGAATTAACTCTAATTACTTTGTAATGCTGATTAAGCCAGTTAGAGCGCATTAAATATGTAAACGGTATTCCGACATTCTTCGCATATTCGCACAAAGAAGACATCCGGCTAATAAGTCACATACGAGTGGCATTGAGTGCAACAAAGTGAGTTATAATGATTTAAGCTGCATTTCAATGCCTATTAAGTGTTTATTAACAAGCCAAAAGCTGTACGAGCTGTACACTTCAATTTCCATTTCAATTTCAATTGCAAATTTCAATGGCATATTTTATGGCAGCGCACAAATGAAAACGAGACGGTCTAAAAATACCAAATTTAAATTCACCTTTATGGTCGACAAAAAACAAATGCCACAACCCAGCCCCAGCGTGGCCAACTGTGGCAGGGCAGCACAAGCAGTGGCAGGGGCAGGGGCAGGGGCAGCATTGGCATAGTTTCTAAATCACTTTCTGTCAGCCGTTTACAGGAGCAACAGCAGCAACAGCAGCAGCAGCAGCGGCAAGGATAACAATCGCAACGTCAAAAAGTTGCCCACTTTTTGTAATTTTATTTTATTTCCGTTTAAGTGCGTGCGCCAAGGTGCTGCCCGTCCACACGCCCCCAATGCCCTCGCCCCCGCCCCAACCCCCC